TATTGTGATGCCTTGTCCCGGCCGGAGCGACGAGACAAAAACATTAAAAACCCATTATAAACTAGGCATTTGTTGCATCCAGTGGGGACATAATTACGGATTATAATGACTTGTACTGTATTTTTACGAGTTGCGTTGCATCGCATTTTGTCTGCATTTGTGATCGGAGAAATGACAAACAACAAGTGCTACTCTACACTGCCCAAAACACGCGTTTGAATCATCGGTGGCAAATTCTTTAAATATAAAAAACATACTTGCAGTCTGTGAGTCAGAACAGCCGGCATTGTAGTCTAATCTCCCAGGAAACAATCCTCTATAAAATGTGCAGCACACATATGAATGAATATTTGGGTTGAACTGTTCTGGAACAATGTTGTAAATACAACTTAACCACTGATTTTTAGTCGTGTCCTCTTTTGGAAGGCCAAACAAAGTAGTTTTGCTTTCACAACAAAACACGGCGTCACACACGGTGGGCTAGAGTGAGCGGCGGCCGGTGGCTAGAGTGAGGAACGGCCGGCAGGATGAGTGAGCAAAGGCCATCATGCTGAGTGAGCAAAGGCCGGTGGGCTTGAGAATGGCGCGGCCGGTGGATTCGATGAAGGAGCGGGCTTGCGGCAACCACAACCATGTGATGGAAGGGGGGCAACACTTTTTCACACCACTGTAAATGTACTAAAAAATAAAAACCCTTTGGTCTCTTTGGGCGTTGCAGCAAGCAGCTGTTCTCTGAAGCAGCTGTGTATTCTAGAATAATTTGTAAAATTCTAGATGTACTCCACTCCCGAGGCAGCCTCATTTCCCTGACTCAGAAGCAGGTGCCCGGTGTTTGGCTGGTAGCCACCGCTCTTCAGAGAAGATGAAGGTCAGAACGGAGGGATGAGGAAGAGGAAGAACAGGCTCCTATCAGGCTGCTGTTCTCTGTGATAAGCTGTGAGCTGAGCTGGAGGAAGGGAGAGAGAGGGAGGAAGATGTGTCCAGTCCGCAGGTGCAGGCAGATAGTATTCTTAACAGTCTTATTAAAAAACATTGACCTTCACAGGACGCCTCAGAACCAGACCCAGGATCACAGTAAAGACTCAGATGGAGAGTGAAGTTTCGTCTCACAAATATCTAAAACCAGAGGTGTAAAGATACGCTGAAATTTTAAAAAGGGCTTATTTATTTAGACCTGATGTGCTGATCTAGTGAGCGATAACAGGTAGGAAGGTCAGTGTTTCAAGATTCCTGCAGTGAACTAGAGGTTAAGCATCTAATTAAAGGACACAAGTGATCAACCCTTCAGTACTTAAGCAACATTTCGATGTTGTGATTTTGTATTTCCTGGTGTGAATTGAGAGTCGCTATAACAAGACAGAGTTTTGTGCTCCACTCTTCAGGATTTAAAACGGTAGTGCTACAACAAATATGTATATTGTATATGAATTGAGCTAAATAATATATTGACAAAAAATTTATTGCACTGTCCACTCTTTTAATTTTAAAAGAATTCGTCTCACAAATATCTAAAACCAGAGGTGTAAAGATACGCTGAAAATTTAAAAAGGGCTTATTTATTTAGAGCTGATGTGCTGATCTAGTGAGCGATAACAGGTAGGAAGATCAGTGTTTCAAGATTCCTGCAGTGAACTAGAGGTTAAGCATCTAATTAAAGGACACAAGTGATCAACCCTTCAGTACTTAAGCAACATTTCAATGTTGTGATTTTGTATTTCCTGGTGTGAATTGAGAGTCGCTATAACAAGGCAGAGTTTTGTGCTCCACTCTTCAGGATTTAAAACGGCAGTGCTACAACAAATCTGTATATTGTATATGAATTGAGCTAAATAATATATTGACAAAAAATTTATTGCACTGTCCACTCTTTTCATTTTAAAAGAAGGAGTCACCAGTTCATGTAACCCAAGTTTCATGCACTGCTCTTTGGGATTTAAAACAGCAGCATCACAACAAATATATGTGACCCTGGACCACAAAAGTCTTAAGTCGCTTGGGTATATTTCAACAATAGCCAAAAATACATTGTATGGGTCAAAATTACCGATTTTTCTTTTATGCCAAAAATCATTAGGATATTAAGTAAAGATCATGTTCCATGAAGATATTAAGTAGATTTCTTACCGTAAATATAACAAAACTTAATTTGATTAGTAATATGCATTGCTAAGAGCTTCACTTGGACAACTTTAAAGGCAATTTTCTCAGTATTTTCATTTTTTTGCCCCCTCAGATTCCAGATTTCCAAATAGTTGTATCTTGGCCAAATATTGTCCTATCATAACAAACCATACACCAATGGAAAGCTTATTTAGTCAGCTTTCAGATTATGTATAAATCTTTTGACTGGTTTTGTGGTCCAGGGTCAAATATATTATGAGTTTTGAGCTAAGTATTGGTGGTAAGAAATTAACTTTCTATTGCATTGTCCTTTTATTTTAAATGAATGAGTGAATTCAAATGAATCACTCGGTTGGCTGAGCTGGAGGAAGGGAGAGAGAGGGAGGAAGATGTGTCCAGTCCGCAGGTGCAGGCAGATAGTATTCTTAACAGTCTTATTAAAAAACATTGACCTTCACAGGACGCCTCAGAACCAGACCCAGGATCACAGTAAAGACTCAGATGGAGAGTGAAGTTTCGTCTCACAAATATCTAAAACCAGAGGTGTAAAGATACGCTGAAAATTTAAAAAGGGCTTATTTATTTAGACCTGATGTGCTGATCTAGTGAGCGATAACAGGTAGGAAGATCAGTGTTTCAAGATTCCTGCAGTGAACTAGAGGTTAAGCATCTAATTAAAGGACACAAGTGATCAACCCTTCAGTACTTAAGCAACATTTCAATGTTGTGATTTTGTATTTCCTGGTGTGAATTGAGAGTCGCTATAACAAGACAGAGTTTTGTGCTCCACTCTTCAGGATTTAAAACGGTAGTGCTACAACAAATATGTATATTGTATATGAATTGAGCTAAATAATATATTGACAAAAAATTTATTGCACTGTCCACTCTTTTAATTTTAAAAGAATGAGTCACCAGTTCATGTAACCCAAGTTTCATGCACTGCTCTTTGGGATTTAAAACAGCAGCATCACAACAAATATATGTGACCCTGGACCACAAAAGTCTTAAGTCGCTTGGGTATATTTCAACAATAGCCAAAAATACATTGTATGGGTCAAAATTACCGATTTTTCTTTTATGCCAAAAATCATTAGGATATTAAGTAAAGATCATGTTCCATGAAGATATTAAGTAGATTTCTTACCGTAAATATAACAAAACTTAATTTGATTAGTAATATGCATTGCTAAGAGCTTCACTTGGACAACTTTAAAGGCAATTTTCTCAGTATTTTCATTTTTTTGCCCCCTCAGATTCCAGATTTCCAAATAGTTGTATCTTGGCCAAATATTGTCCTATCATAACAAACCATACACCAATGGAAAGCTTATTTATTCAGCTTTCAGATTATGTATAAATCTCTTTTGACTGGTTTTGTGGTCCAGGGTCAAATATATTATGAGTTTTGAGCTAAGTATTGGCGGTAAGAAATTTACTTTCTATTGCATTGTCCTTTCATTTTAAATGAATGAGTGAATTCAAATGAATCACTCGGTTGGTGTGGTTCTTTTTAAATTAATAGTAAAAATGTTACTTGTTCATCTTCATGTCATTTTAAACATGTATGCAGTTATGTTTTCTGTCAAACACAAAAAGAGGCATTTTAAAGAATTCTTAGGGAATGCTTGGTATATAGTGACGGGTCTGTTCAGCCCTAAAAGGACCTGTAGTTCAGTCTTTAAATATTTCAACTTTTGTGTTCGACGGAAACAAATGCAGCTTTGCAGTGGCAGTGAGGGCGAGTAAATAATGATAAAAGTCAATGAGTCATTTGTTGAATCAGACTCAGTTGAACACAAGACTCATTCTGAATTATGAACTGAATCAGTCAGATGACTCACTTCTTAAGTGAATTAGCTTTGATAATTGCAGGTTTAAAATGCACAAATGTTAAAATGTAATAAAATGTTTCTATCTGCAGTACCTGGTCAGTGTCCCTCTCAGGATGTTCAGACTGTGGGCATTTATGGGCATGATGGCACAGGTATGAATTTTTGATACGAAGAAAATCAAAAAAAACAAATTGCATTAATTTTCTTACAAAAAATATTTTTATGTAAATTATCTAATTATCTTTTTTCTGTCAGTACTTTTTTACAGTTGACTTTAAAATAAATATTTCTTTCAGCTCCCACTGGCATGGTTTGTGGCCAGGTTTCTTCGTGGTAATTATGGAAATGCTGCTGTGTGGCTCTCGCTCATTATTGGTCAACCTATTGCAGTTCTGATGTATGTTCATGACTACTATGTCACCCACTGCCAGGATGACCCGACAATCAGTGAAGCTCTGTAATCACACAAAGTTGTGGACTCGGCTAAGCAGCTAAACTTAGAAATATTGCGGTAAGGCTTCTACATATTGCAGAGGTACCGGTGGGGGTGATTACAATTGAAGAGTCCCGACTCCCGGCAATCAGATTTCCATAAAGTCTTCAAATAAACTCATAGCTCTAGGCTATGTTTAAACCTTTATGAACAATGACAACAGCCAGTCTGTGGAAATCTCATCTAGAACTGCCAGTAGAGAGCACAAGTCTTTAAGCTTCTGAATGTGATTCCACAGGTGTCGATTGCTCATTTTAACTACACTAAATTAAACTGTCCTGATTTTTTGAGAGTGTGTTTTATGCATTACTAGCAGGACCACCAGTTCAGAAGACTTTCTCACACTCAGGTCTGTGTTCTGTTCATTTTATATATATATATATATATCTGCCTTTAGTTCAAATATTGTGAAAACTCCTTAAACTGGACATGCTGTTGTTGGTTTTTTGTTTTTAAACTAAATGCCAGCCCATAGATCGATAGAATATGCGAGGAGAGTATGTACAGACAGAAATGTGCAATTTTTTTTATGAATATATTTTTAAACCAATATGTGGGCGGACACTTTAACCGTGTATGTTGTTGTTGTTGTTTTTTTGCAAAGGCATACTAGAGAAAATGTTTGTCAAATCCGTCTATGGCCACATCCATATGTTTTAATTGATATTTGTTGCAATAATTTAGAATTGCATTTTTATGTATCTAAACTGTTGTACACTAGTGTTCAGATGCCATCTGCGCTCCGTTATGGGCATTATGGGACCTATTCATCAAAAGTGCGCCGCCCTGTGGCGAATGTTGAGAATAAACAACCCTGCAAACTATGCAACTGTGGCAGTTATTTGTTTTTGTGGAGGCATTTATCGAGCGTAATTGTATTCAACTAGAGGGAACCGGATGCATTGTAATCACGCAGTGTGTTATTTTTCACAGATTAGGTCCGTCCAGGGCAATTTGTCCTCTCTCGTTGAGGGTGCCAGATCCTCGCAATCAGTGCAAGTGTGTGATAAATGGCTTTAGAGAGAAGTCTTATAATAGCCACGGGTCATATTGTATGAACATCCTATCAGGATGGCACAGGCGCATTTCAAGAGCTCGTGCTATCTAATAGGCTGATAGTGCTTCGCCGTGCTGCGATCTGTTTAGTATACATTGCCATACATAGAAAAGATTGGAACAGCCAAAGAATGATTACTGCGCAGAAAATCAATGCTGTAGATGTCACTGACTACGTTTACATGGACATCAGTAATCTAATTATTTACCTTATTCTAAATAAGACAATATTATGATTAAGCTGTTTACATGAGTTGATTTTAGAATATTCTTTTCATGTTCCCGTTTTACATTTTATAGTAGCCACGTAGTTCGATTAATGGCACACGTCATTACGTCACCACGCGACGCCATCCGACGTCCTCTCTGGAATTTCACGTATAAACATATCCACCTTTTTTTGTCGTAAAAATAGGGGCGGCCATTCTATGGGTCTGGCTTCCGGTCTCATCTGCCTCCACTCCGTCCAGCTATTTTTAGCTGAACAAAACAGTTCGTTTTGCTGCTTGATATTGAAAGTTGGTGTGTCTTATATTATTTTAATGTATCATCTTAATTATGAACACACTGGTTTGTAGTGCAAACAGTTTACTGCACGTCGTTATTCTCCTCGTTATTTACCTATAGCGGCTAAAGAACCGGAAGTCTCACCCATAGGCTTGCTTTCGCGTTGAAGAAAAAGGTGGATAGTTCGTCTTCGTTATGATGCCATATACAGTGTTGGGTGCTTCATTTTTAATTTACTGAAAGCTTCAAGTGCAGTTAATTATTTGTCATGCTATACATGCAAACAGACGACGGCGTTGAAGCCATTCTTTTGTTTGCCGTCAAACGTGTGTATCCTGTCGCAAAATTCGGCGAAAAGTCCTACACGACGGTAATAATGTGATTTAAGGTCTTTACTGCACCTTCAGTAATGCTACTAAAATAGGAATACTCCACATTAGGGATGTAACGATTACCGTTTTCAAACTAAACTTGCTTACACTAACCGTATAAATCATATTTCTATCACTGACGAAAAATGTTTTCTTACATTAAAATTGAAAAATGTAATTAGCCTATTCTATTTATGTTTGTATGTGAACTCGAAATCAACCCCAACTTTGCTTTAAAATGCATCACAAGATCTCCTAAACGAAGATCACATGATCACTAACGGAAATCACATTGTGTGTATATATATGTATATATACACACAAGTGATTTATTATTATTATTATTATTATTAGGGCTTCATGTTAATGTTAATTTAATGTTTTTGCTAAAAAAAAATAAGTGCATATAGCTGCTAACTGTATTTGTTGTTTGTTGATTTTCAAATATAAAACTTATTGAAACGTTTTCAGTGTGTATCAGTTCTTTTTGAACGTTTTCATCTAATTTTAACAAAATCGTGATAATATTGATAATCGTGATAACTTTGGTCACTATAATCGTGATATGAAATTTTCATACCGTTACGTCCCTACTCCACGTCTTAATTCGATTAGTGTTTACTTCGATTATGACTTTAGCCGGATTAAGGTAATCAAAAATCTCTGTTTACATGGTAGATTCTTAATCAGAGTATTGTCTTAATCGTATTAAAATCGGAGTATTGTTGTCCATGTAAACGTACTGACTGTTTATTTAATTAAACAACTAATAACAAGTTTAAAACGTTCCCATTTTGGACTAAACTATATAACTATTACTCACTAACCTATATAATAGCCTAAGCTGAGCAGGTATACCGTTCAAAAGTTTTTTTTTTTTTCTTTTTTTAGATAAATTAATGCTTTTATTCAGCAAGGATGGATTCGATCGAAAAAAAAAGTGACAGTAAAGACATTTATAATGTTACAAAAATATTCCTATTTCAAACTAATTGTTATTTTGAAATTCTATTCATCAAATAATCCTGAAAAATCAGTTTTCACAAAAATATTAAGCAGTAGGCTGCAACTGTTTTCAACACTGATAATATTAATAAACATTAATAAAAAATGATTTCTGAAGAATCATCATGAATGCTGCAGAAAATTCGGATTTGTCATCACAGGAATACATTTTAATATATATTGAAATATATTTATAGTAATACATTTAATAAACTACTTTGGTGAGCATAAGAAACGTCTTTCAAAAGAAAAAAAACTTATTTTTTGAGAGTGTGTTTTATGCATTAGGCCTACTATCACGACCACCAGTTCATAAGACTTTCTCACTCAGGTCCGTGTTCTGTCACTTTTCTCTTTTTTTTTTAGCATTTTAACATCTGCCTTTAGTTCAAATATTGTGAAAACTCTTTAAATGTTGTTGGGTTAAATGCCAGTCCATAAATAGATAAATGTGCAATTTTTTTTTAATGAATATTTTTTTTAAGACGTAAAAAACGACGTAGTGATTGCTTGGTGGACTGTTCAGGTTTATTTTCCTCAGTGTTTATTCATGTCTTTGGTAAGATGACTTGAGGCGCGTGCGCAAATGGGGCACTGACTGCACTGTCACTTCTGCTGTACGTAGCCTACCTGCACCAGAAAAGAAACAGTATGACATCGGTGTATGTTAGCCAACAGGGAGGAGATGACATTTTTCCGCTCTGTTCAGCTATATGTTTTACTGTATATTTCAGCACGCAGCAGATAATTGGCCTGTATTCAAGCCGCTCATTCCCAGTGTAATTCTGTCAGGCTTAGACATATCTGTCCTCAGATCAAGCACTATAGTTTTAAACCAACCAGAATCTTTTATCCTTATATAGCTATGTAACCAGACACTAGGTCCTGTGGTACTTATCCTTTAATAAGAGTGTTTATCTATTTTTGGACCCATCCGAATATGTTTAAAGGGGCTAGTCATGAAAACAAATTTCTCTTGAAACACCCACGATGTCTTCAGTGTCTTCCATTTCAGTGGAGAGACCCTATTATCCAGTTCAGTGTAAACATTTAATTATTATTATTTATTTATTTATTATTATTATTTTCAGTGGAAAAAAGGTCCAGTGTGTACCGGTTTAAATTACGACCAAAATGTTGTAATACTAGGTAAATTGTCACTATGGAACCTGCCATTGAACAGCCAATGATAGAGTTTTCAGCAAAATGTAAACATTAAAATAATTATCAAATTTATTAAACAAGCTGAATAAAACAATATAAAGGGTAATAACCACAAATATCAAAGCATTGTTTCGGCCAACAAATTCTGCAATAATATAAATATATAACATTTAAATCATGCAACAACATTTTGAAATAAGTGTTTGTATAATTTTTTTTATACAATACAAAAAAGTTTTGTATTTGTATTTTTGTATTTGTATGGGAAGTCGTGGCCTAATGGTTAGAGAGTCGGACTCATAACCCAAAGGTTGTGGGTTCGAGTCTCGTACCGACAGGGATTGTAAGTGGGGGGAGTGAATGTACAGTGCTCTCTCCCACCTATGAACAATTACACTGAAAAATGCTCCATCACGCCACAATGACATCTTTCTACATCAGAAGATTTTTCAGAGATTGCATTCTAGGTTCAGCCATTGAATGAAATCAAAGGTGTCCTTCATTACTGGAGGATACTATAATTTCATTGCATTAATCTAAGTCCAAAGAGCAGGCATATCTTGGGGAGGATTTTCCAGATAATCCGATACAATTGTACCTTCCAAAATGATTGCAGTAGACATGGCATTAAATGCAGTGAGTTAGGTATGGCTCTAGAGTCCTCAGCTCAGGGATCACGCTCAATAGGCCGACTGACAACTCTTCTTCATCATAGTCCTAGAAACAAGAATACAATATGACAAAAATAAGTAATTACATTTTAAGAGTACTTATTCAGGTTAAACATTTGCAAACAAATTAATATCTGTGTATTATGTTTAGATATAAAGGCCTTTTCAAACTGAGCACAGCAGTGGATCCCAGATAATAAAAAAAAAAAGACATTCAATCTGTTGTACAAAAAGACAAGACAAACTGAACAGTATGCCAGCTATACAATAATCTATTCTGAAACAGCTGTTTTGACATTTGAAAAGTGTAAAAAAAAAATTAAAAAAAAATACAGCATTTTGGTTCAATACTGACATATATATTCTCTTTTGTGTGATTTCAAACAAATACCATAACAAATGTAAAACTAAATATCAAAAGTAAAATGTTTCTCTGAGCATACAATAATTTTGAATAGATTAGTTTGATCATATCAGCTGCTCATCCACAATTAGCCTTTTAGTAAAACTCTTATGTAAATGGGTTTAGTACTCGCGCGTGTGCTGTTTGATTTATAGTGCTACAGCAGCGCGATTGTGTAATTCTGACTCATTTAAAACGACCTTTGGAACTTCACACACTGTTGGTGCCTATATGACTGTAGAAGGTATAAATACACCTAAACGTGCTTTTTCTTTTTGCATATCGGCTTATAGTCTTTAACGGCGTTTTCACACTTAGAGCTTGTGCTTGGCAGACATTCACAGACATTCGCAAACAATCGCGTTCGCGTGAGGACGTAACCATAGCAACAGGACGCCGCTGCGGCTGCACGAAAGTTTTCTGGAATGAGTATGGGTCTATGGGATGGTAAATCGACAAAAAGATGGTACGTATTGCCCCTGTTGATCACTTAGTGACTTCATTGTAAATGTACATTTAATAAATCTATCAAATACATTCTGTTAAAAAGTATTTAAGGTACTAGACCTGCGGTTTGGGGCATCAACAGAGAATTTCGGTTGCGCGAGATCAACATTTCGATTGTTGAATTGCCAAAACTAATTACTAAATATGTGTGTTTTCTTTAAAAAAAAAATTTTTTTTATATATATATATATATATAATTCGTATATAAAATGTACATGAACTTGTTATATTTGTAATAGCAGGTGGTGTTTTTTGTATATCATTGATTGTCAGTGTTAATAAAGAATAACAATTTGGTCCCTCTGTAAATTCTCTTTGCCACCTTGAAGAATTCTCAGTTACTTAAAGTGTAGATAGACGGTAGGGAAGTAAGAAAACACCCAGTCAAATGTATCCTCAATACTTCAATTTATTCATAGAAATACAGATATTATATAGGCATATGTCGAGGGGAGTTTCATCCTCTTAACCAATGAGGATATGAATAACATACACGTAGGATCTTTGGCCAAGAACATGTGTTTATATAAAATGGTCACATGTACAGAAAAACATGGACATATTAGGAATAGACTTTTGCGAAGAATGCTGAACTGTCTTCAGAGTTTCATCACGAACCTCATTCCTAGCTATCATGTCCTTATTTGGGACATTTGAACCAAGAGAAGCTAATGTATACATTTAAGCATGCATACCTCGCATATAAGTAAGACATATTTAAAACATAATATCAAGAGAGAGAGATGGATACAGAAGGGGGGATTCAGAGAGAATGCGTTGTATATATAGAAGACTGAGAGAGAGAGAGAAATAAAGGAGGGGTGAGACATATCTGGAACATCCTCTTAACAAGACAGAGAGTGTTTTCTAACAGTCAGTTAAGGCTTTAAAATGTTTTCTTATGAATCTACATTCTACTGTCTTTTCAGAGCCTTTTCCCTATTTTAGTCACTTTATTATTTCATATTCCTTTCTCCAGGTATTACAGATATGCCAAATAAGTCAGAGTTCTGCTAAAACTGTGTTTACTGTCACAATGCCAGGATTTTTCCCCATCTTGTTTTTCACTGACATTTTTCCACTGCCTTGATCTCTCTGGATATCACTTGTTAATGCCAAGATTTCTCTCTCTGTCTCTCATCCACTCTCTATCTCTCTCTCATCTAGATTAATAAGTAATTCCATGGAAGCTCACAGAGGAACATCCACCTGTTCTGCTCTCCATGCCCTGCCACATTTCCCTTTTTCCTTTCATGAAAACATGACTCATGAGTTACACCAACAAAGCTCTATATGGACTAGGATTCATTACAACGATTGGTAGATCTCTCACTGAAACATGACCTCTCTTTTGACTACGAGTATTTTATAAGATGATACCTGATGTGGATTATGAAAGATCAGCTTGGAAGTCTTAAGGAGAATAGAGTCTGGACTTGTGAGGGGTAAGTACCACAGGAACCATTTCTGGATCAAGGCCGCAGACACCAGCTTCGTATATGCAGGCCAGCATGGCACCCAAGAATGCTGTCACGGAGTCTGTTCCAGTGCTGGAAATGGCAGTCGTAAAAGAAAAGGATTCAAATTGTGGACTAAATGCAGACAAGGATAAAGAGAGGGAAGTGGAGATGTCAGAGGACTCGGCCAGTGAGGATTCAATAAACCACATCCCAAAACGGTTATGGGTCATGCACAGTGCTGTCATGTTCGGGAGAGAGTTCTGCTATGCCATGGAAACAGCGCTGGTCACTCCTGTGCTGTTGCAGTTAGGTCAGTAATCAACAAACCTTTTGATGACTTAAATCAACTAATTTCTTGCCCCTCAACATGTTATTCCAAACGTTTGTCTTTTGCTCTTTTGTGGAACATGAAATATGTTATGAAAAAATATTTTTTGTCAGAAAAAAAAAGGTAAGCGGGTGGGTTCTAATGTTGTTTTGGACCCTACTGACTTTCATTCATAGAGGGTTAATGGGTAATTTATTGTTGTTAATTTATCCTAGGCTTAAGGCCTCTATTCATAATCATTGAGCAGGGACATTCCTTCGGATTTGGTAAAGATTCCCTATTGTGCAAATGCTAACCCTGTGTCATAGTAATAAGACAGAGGGATGTTTGTTTCCACAGTAGCATGCAAAAATGAATGAGGTAGCGTTTGCATGGAACGCAGAGAATGTGTGAGTGTGCATATTTCTCTTTCTCGCAGTTTTCCATCCAGGAAATGGCAGGGTTAATATGACAAAAGGTTTGAATTGCTCTGAAGGCCCTCTGATCTTCTACCAAAAGCAGTTTTAGTCGATTAAACGGCTGAACATGTACTGAATACCATCCACTAAACTCTGAAAGGCCATTTCCTTCAGCTTAAGTGTTTTTGTATTTAGCTTAAGTGTTTTTGTCTCTTTTATGTGCGTGTTTAGGCAAAATATATGTGTCCCTTAAAATCTTAAATAGCCTACTTTATGAAAATAGGTCAAATTTAAATTGAGTGTAGTTTAATAGACGATCAATCAGAGTCTGTTTTGTAGTTGGATAGGTGTTCATCTTTAAAGCTGAAGCGAATTTGATGCAATGTCTGTTGTCTGCACTTTCTGTTCTCACATTCTCAGTCGTCATGCTGCTACACACATGACCTGTAGTTCTTTCAGACATTTGGACCTCTTGAAAAAGGAGAAGTTTGACATTTAAGTTTCACTTGAGTAATCAAGTGTTTGGGTTTTAGTATGTCATCAGTCCTGGCACGATGAGTTCTGCGTGCCAGACTTATGGAAAATTCCCTTAGATGTTAAATCTATTTGCTATGAATCAACACTATTGAATAATCCCAAATATTCTTTTCAGTTTTCTCATGCCCTTTTTATTAACTCATAAGTCATCGCATTTGATAATAATTTTATTGTCAGAGGCTGTTTACTTCATTACTATGACACAATTTTAGATATAGTGTGTGAAAGGTTTATAGTGTTGTAAATGACAGGTTAATGAACTGCAGACATGCTGAAACCTGCCTGGTTATCCGTTTCAGCTGATGTGGGTTGCTTAATTCGCCATATTGGTATTTTTTGCAATACTTAGTGGTATATTTAGTGGTTATTAAAAAATATAGTTTTGATCTGCCTGAACCTTGGAGTTGAATTGATCCCAGTCTGTTTCTTCTTGCAGGTCTCCCGGAGCAGTATTACAGCTTAACCTGGTTCCTCAGCCCTATTTTGGGTTTAATTTTCACCCCTCTATGTGGCTCAGCAAGTGACCGTTGCACTTTGAAATGGGGTCGGAGGAGACCCTTCATTTTGGCACTGTGTGTAGGCGTGTTAATAGGAGTGGCCTTATTTCTCAATGGATCTCTTATCGGTAATTAATATTAATTTATATATTTATATAATATTTAAAATGCACAGAGTTGCATGTCACTGTTGTTTAAAGAGGAGGCCCTTGACTATATTATGTTTTATTATGTTTTTGTTTTATAAATGATTTGTGTTAGTGCCAGTAGCCTCGTGGGCAGAGCCCCAACATATAGTTCGAGTCCCAATCCCATTCCCCCCTCCCTCTCTCTCTCTCCCACTTTGCTTCCTGTATACATATTGTCCTGTCATAATAAAGGCAAAAATAAATCTTTGATAAATAAATTAATGGTTTGTCCTTACAGTATTTTTTAACCTGTCTGTCAAACAGGTCTGTCTCTAGGTGATGTTCCCAGTAATCAACCGGTTGGGATTGTGCTGACCGTTGTTGGTGTGGTAGTTCTAGATTTCTGTGCTGATGCTTTAGATGGACCAATCAGAGCCTATCTCCTGGATGTGGCTGATACCGAGGAACAGGACATGGCTCTGAATATCCATGCTTTCTCAGCAGGTGTATATTCTGGAACTAGGAGTGATAAATTGATCTGAACTGGAAGAGACACTCTGTTGTTTAGCGTCATACTTGAAACCTTCTCAACTCTTTAAAAACTTTTTTTTATAAGATAATTATTCGTTAGTAAAGAGATAATCAGAATAAAAATATTCTATTAACATGGAAAAAGACAAGTGATTATACACTATCATTATAAAAGTGACTGTAAAGACATTTATAATATAAAAATATCAAGTAAATTCTGTTATTTTGAACTTTCTGTTCATCAAAGAAACTTGAAAAAAATTAAGCAGCACAGCTGTTTTCAACATTGATAATAATAAGAAATGTTTCCTGAGGACCAAATCAGCACATCAGATTGATTTCTGAAGGATCATGTGACACTGAAGACTAGAGTAATGTTGCTGAATATTCATCTTTGCCATCACAGAAATATATTTAAAAATATAATAAAATAGAAAACAGTTTTTTACATTGTAATTTGTAATAACATATCGGATTTTACTATATTTTTGATCAAGTACAGCAAAAAAGCTTTAACTTTTGAACAGTAGTGTACTTAACATTATACTGGATGGTGATTATATATTTTTTAATTTGATATAATTCCTGTTTTTCAGGGCTAGGAGGCGCTTTAGGTTACATGCTAGGAGGGCTGGACTGGACCAATACTTTCCTAGGTCGAGCTTTTAAGGCCCAAGAGCAGGTCCTATTTTTTTTTGCTGCCATCATCTTTATAATTTCTACAACGCTTCATCTTTTCAGCATTAATGAGCATCTATATAGTCCGAACCAGCAAGGGGTACTAAAGGATGAGGATGAAGAAAGGCCACCTCCTGTCCAGCTCTATGGCAGCTTTCCATCTACTCATCTCATACCTCAACTAGAACTGATCCCGGAAGAGAAGCTATTTTCAGCCCATGAGGATGATCGCTCTGAGCGGGATGTTTCAATAGACTTTCTAAATGACTTCGTGCGGAGTAAAAGTGACTCCGTTTTAGCCATGCCAGATTCTACAGTAGAGCTTAACCCAGACTTGGACTTGGATCGTGATGGGCAGTTTCTGTGCAACATCAAACCTATTTTATTCCAAGACTTTCAGGGTCTACAAGATGATGGAACAACGTTGGATTCCCACAACACTAGCCATCCAGGTCAGTGCACTGACCATCACTTACAGAATTGTGATAGCAATGGGGAAAATATCTGTGGAGCTGCCAAAACTGGAAATGGAAGCTTTGCTGTTTCTGGAAATCCAATAAATGGAGCAGTGAATGCAACCAATCAACCAGGCAAAGTCGGTTTACGCCCATCTGTCACCTCAATGCGTCGCCGCCACCCTTCCTTCTACCGCCAGCCCTCCTTCACTTTCTCTTATCATGGACGTGTGGGCTTTCAATGGCAAAGGCGCTACGGCAACATGGCTGGGCCGATCAAATCTTCGCGAAGCCTGAATGACATCGACAAAATCGATAGACGGCATGAATGGCGGAAGTTGCAGCCAAGTCGTATTTCTGCATCCCGCAGAGATGAAGAGGATGAAGAGAGTGAGGATGGGGATAGTGGTACGACGGTCAAACTGCTCTGGCTGTCCATGTTGAAGATGCCACCCCAGCTCTGGCGTCTGTGTGTATGTCACTTGCTCTCCTGGTTCTCCATGATTGCACAAGCTGTGTTCTACACAGACTTCATGGGCCAGGTCATCTTTGAAGGAGACCCGACTGTAAGTTCCTTATTCTATTATGTAATTAAAATATAAAATAAAAACTATAGATTTAATTATAAACTAATTAGAATTAAATCAACAATTTTTTGTAAAACTAAAAAATCACTGTGATAATCAGTATCAGCATTTTTTGGTATTTGGTATATTCTAATCAAAATACCACATAATTACCCTACCAAATTTTTATACCAACAAGGTATTAGTTTTAGTCTACAATGCATGCCATTTACATTTCTGTATATGGAGAGTCAGTGTGATTCAGGCTTTACTGTATGCAATACTGAATATACTTGATATCCTATTTATATTTTTCAAAACCAGGCTGCTGCTAACTCCACTGCCCTGCAGAACTACAGTAAAGGTGTGCAGATGGGCTGCTGGGGGCTTGTGATCTATGCGGCTACAGCTGCGCTCTGCTCAGGTGTGTGTTACGTTCATGTGTTGTATTTGGTTAGAGCGTGGCTAATGATGAGGATTACATATTTGTTTTTCCAGTAGTGTGATCAGGTTTCAGTTCTGTAGTTGGACACTCACATGACCAAGTTATGGAATAAGCTGATTTTTTCAGGGTGTGATAGTCCTACATTTTTGTCGTTTCCTTCAGAATGTCATTTTCTTATTTTTATATTTACCTCTAATTTAAGATTAAGTTGTTTAACTCAATGCTGATTATAACAACCAGTTTGTGTACAATTTCTATATCAGTGCACATTTAGAAAATTATTCAAATCAAATAATCAGAAACGTTTTTTTACAGATGTGCTCCAAAGGATCTTAAACAACTACGACCTAAGCATAAAAATCATCTACATGTTGGGGACTCTAGGCTATACTGTGGGCACAGCCATCATGTCCATCTTTCCAAATATATATGTTGCTATGGTGATGATAAGCACCATGGGAATCATTTCAATGAGCATGTCATACTGCCCTTATGCTCTTCTGGGACAGTACCATGAAATCAAAGAGGTATGTATCATTTCATTAACTCGTGTAACCAAATATATGATGTTACCAATAATACAAACTAAAGTTTGTCAAAAGTTTGGTATTTGGATTTGCCTTTGTTTGATCAAAACAGTAATATTGTGAAATAATGCTATTTAAAATAACTTTACTATTTTAAAATGTAATTTATTCCTGTGATTGCTGAATAGTTGAGTCTTTAGTGTCACATGATCCAACAGAAAACCTTCTAATATGTTGATTTGGTGCTCAAATATTATTTTCCATTTTGAAAACAGTTGTGCTGCTTAATATTTTTGTGCAAGCTGTGATACATTTTTTTCAGGTTTCTTTGATAAGTATAGTGTTCAAAAGAACAGATTTTATTTTGAAATAGGTTTTTTTTTGTAACATTATAAATCTTTACTGTCACTTTTAATCAATTTAAGCATCCTTCCTAAATTAAAGTATTAATCCTGACACTTTGAAGGGTAGTATGTATATATCTGGATAAAGATCTGGAAGCTGTTCCAGAATTCATTTTCACAACAAGTAGCACTTGATTTGTGGCAGCAGGTTTCCTCACAGTAGCAGTGCTCTCAATCAGTGTCTTTCATCTTTCTTTTACATTGTCACAGTACATTCATCACAGCCCTGGAAACTCAAGGCGAGGCTTTGGCATCGACTGCGCCATCCTGACGTGTCAGGTGTACATCTCTCAGATTTTGGTGGCGTCGGCTCTCGGTGCAGTTGTAGATGCTGTCGGTACGGTGAGAGTGATCCCCATGGTGGCAGCAGGAGGTGCCTTTCTTGGTTTCCTTGCTGCGGCTTTCCTCGTCATCTATCCTGATACACTTGTTGATGAAGATGATGACGACGATGAAGATGGGCAGGGCCTGAGTTCTGTTCAGTCAGAGGCAGCGTCCAGTAACAGTACAGAGAAACTCAGTGTTTCAAAGTCAATGCCAAGGAACAGTTCCTGCAAGCTAGAGGCTGAATCCACAGTTTGAGTGTTAGAACTTAAAATACTTGAGTTATTAAAGTACAAATCGCAGAATGCACAAGCAAGAGGGTCATTGTCTATCATTCATTCACTCCCTCATATGCTGAATGTAATTCTGTGGATATGGTACAGAGACAAACCTATTTGAGTCAAATATGTGATTTCTGAGATTATTTCTCAAGCTATTTATTATTTGTGGCCAAAATATCCGTTGTCTGCACAAAAGTATGTTTCAGTTTTGATTTAGATTTTTTTATAACCAGGTTTACATCACTACATTTGAAAACATTGTTTCACATTCTAATACTTTTTCTACACATTTTATCATTTCACTTTACAAATCAACATTTGCATTCCAGATGTAAGTTTGCATTTTTCATTTTAGACTGATTTTTTATCAATTAAAATGTGTCTGATTATCATTGTATTTCCCATCTCAGCCTCATATCATAAGAAACAATCAAGGGAAAGTTGAAAGGCTGCTGCTTCTGAGCTCAAAACGCTCACTTCTGTTTAGACTTTATCTATGCACAATGCCACATATTTTTTTCTAATAATCCTAGACTTTGAGCAAGACATTGGTTTTGAGAGTTGCCTTTAGTTAGTGAACTTGATTTTCTTAGGTACACTATTTTAAGGTATGAAGAGCATGGAAGAGCTGTGACACTGAGTAGGGAAATTGCTTTGCTGTACAGCAGTGATTGGTTTGTGAAATGAAGAAGTGTGTTTAGCTGTCATGGCAATTTTTACTTGGTTTCAGCCTCCATCGTAAGTGATGACTCTCCAATAGTGGCAGTATTTTTTCATAGTCAAATTCATAATACTGTTCCAGTACTGTTGTATAGTTATTATACACAAGTTATTTAGCTTGTTTCTTGTTCAAGAAGACAGGCCAAATATTTCCTTTACTAGTCAGTCACAGAACCCCGCTGGCTAAGTGTATGCTCATAAATGTAGATTAGATACATTGCTGGAAGTGTGACATCTGTACAGAGGTCAGTAGGCTGGCGTTGTATCCTATTTTATCAATCTGAAAGTTTTTCTTTGTGTGTGTGTGTGTGTGTGTGTGTGTGTGTGTAGGTTTCGTAAACAAGGTGAACACTTTTTATAATTTTTTTTGTATATGTGGTACTGTTGTGACTTTTTAGTGTTTGAACCAAATTGAAAGTTCATACTGGTTCCAGGTGTTTTTGTTTTGAATTTGTGTGAAGTTTCGATAAAGAGAAAGTTTTACACTTTTCCCTGTTTGAATGCTTGTTTGTTTTAAACTGTAGCACAATGTGGTTGAATCTGAAATGTATTGATTGTTGACTATCCGTATCATGCACTCTAGTGTGGTGTCGCGGCCCTCGACCACTAGGTGGCGCGAGTACTTAATAACATACCGGGTGATACATATAAATGAAGGTATTTTTGGTGCAAAACAACTGAGTGTCCGTGACCGCAGGATTTGCAGTTGTAAAGAATAGCCACACATGTGTATCAGTAAATCTGAAGTCACAGACAAAAGTTGCAAACTTGTAGATTTTTTTTTATCTTCCACAAACACAACACAACAGTTACACGTTCTTGAATCCTTCACTGCAGGTGCACAAATCCTATTCTACGAATCACAAATCAAGAAACTCGTACGCTCACATGTTTTGCTACTATTGCTGCAGTGAATATGGTGCAAAACACATTCACACACTTGCGTCAAAAATGTGAAGTCACAGACAAATTTTGTACATCCGCAAATCAGTTTGTGAATTCTTGCAATGAGATTTGCACACTTGTAGAATGTTTTCTTACATGTATATTTTTTTCTTGGATGCTTTTTCTATCATCTTCAAATTTGAATCAAAATATGGTCAGACATTCAGCTTTATCTTTATGGTGTTTTCAGGCCAATAGCATTAAAGCCTCATCCATTTTTCCCTTAGTGAATTTCATTCAAAGATATCGTAAGTCACTTTCATGTACATTTTACCTTGTTTTACTCTGTTGCTATACTAATTTTGAGTTATTATGACTCCAGAGTAACAAAGGTTCAAGTGTCTAGTTTCAAACAATACCAGATTTATAAATATAGACCATAGGGTTCAAGAGCTACAGACATTTTTATTTGGGTATGTCGTTTTTCAGAAAATGCTCAAAAATAGGGGAGCACAGTAAGTGGTTAAGGAAAAATTCAATTTGATCTTAAAAACGCTACATTATTTACATTGAACGATTTCTGCAATGTTTGACAAAAGCGTTTCCATGAGAAATCAGTTGTATTTACAGAGTGAATTCTTTACAAAATGTCATTGACACTTCATAAATAAGGTAAAAGGGCTTCACTTGATGATATTTTTTATAACTATTATTTCAGCAAATAATCAGTCAAAGGAGATGCTTAACCTTCAGAAAATGTTCGGGGCACCAAACTAGTTTTTTCCCCTTGCTAGTTAGATAATAATTTATCAAATAATATCTAATATTTGTCACAACAAAACAGGATCGCTTTTACATTTATTCATTTAGTAGACGCTTTTATACAAGGCGACAAATGAGGAGAAACACCAGAAGCAATTTATCTTAAGAAGGCAATAACATGCTAATATAAAGTTTCAACATTGTCAGAATATTATAAACTAGAAAAAGCATAGGGGAAAATATTTTAAAATTAGTATAGCCTACAGTTAAAGGGATAGTCCAAATGTAAATTCTGCCGTCATTTAGGTACGCACCTTCAAGTTGTTTGTAACCTGTATGAGTTTCTTTCTTCTTTTAAACACAAAAGAAGATATTTTGAAGAATGTTGGCAACCAAACAGTATGGGGGAAAAAATACGACTTGAACAACTTGAGGGTGTGTAAATGATGACAGGCCTTTAATGTTTGGGTGAACTTTCAGTTTTCAGTGTTTTCTTGAATATACTGTCAGTCAGGTATTCGGCTGCTCGGACAGATTTTGGAAGATAATTCCACCAAGAGGGACCAGTGAAAGAAAACATTCTGGAAAGATTTGTATGCCCATCTGTGATGGTACCACGAATCTCCGCTCATTTTCCGCCAGCAGGCTTCCGGAGGGGATGTGAACTCGTGAGAGAGGAGGTAGGATGGTTTAAAGTAATGAGTCACAGAGGAGTACATTGGAATATCCAAACAATGGTTTTAATACATTTGTATTTTCCAGAGAGGTTTGCTCTGCTTTACTTTTACCGCATGTATTATGTTGTCATGTTAAAGGTAGCACTGGCCATTGAGAACATGTAGTGCCTGTTGACTGTAGAGCGCATGCGCAGATCACTCTGCTTCAGCAGCTTTTATAGTGTATCCCTGTCTTTTGTCTCAACCTGTCCCGTGCGTAATTTCACTTTCATAATACCGGTGATCGACAAAGGTGCGTGCATTCTTATCTTTACAGCAAAGATGGGCGTTTATTTACATGGTTAGAATATAAACTTTAAGAAAAACTTTACAATGTTATCGCCTTATATTAAAACTTTAAGATTATTTATCTGTTCATTGAAAACGTCAGCTATTCGTCGAGTTTTTTGCAGTTATTCCTATTTGGGTAAATATTTAAATTATTACAGTTATCGTCCTTGAATTATCAAAAGTATTAATCAATTTAGGCAAAATAAAAGCAGTGACTCATTATCTGAAGTTGAATGCATATTGAATGTTTCCACTGACTACAGTAAAAAATATTAAAATGTTCTTTTTTTTAAATTCACTTTTTATCTGTGGTTTCCGGGGTGTCTGTGTAATAATAACTTTCTTTATTTCCACAACCATGCCGTTGTGTTGCTGTTGTGTTATTCCTGACTTGTTAATGTGTATATATATATCTTAATATTGCATCTTTAAAGTTTATCACATATAATCTACAGTGTTAAGCAAAAATGTTTTACTTCATTTAGATTTCATTTCGCAACCCTGGAGCTACAAATAAGAGATTTCTGAATCAAATGAATATGTGTATTTTCTTCACTGATCTCTCTGTTCACAGATCTTATGAGGAGTGCCAATCCTGTTGATTATCAATGGCAGACGGTCTGCCTTCAGGGTTATTGGAAGCATGTGTCGTTGTGGGATTGGGAAATGATAAACTGAAGGAGCTGTCCCAGGTAAAATAATTTCTTTCTGCGAGTTTTTGTTAAACTGTTATGAGGTGTAAGGCCCTGCCTTTACAACAGTGGATCTCTTTATTTAAAAACAACGTATGCATCAAACATGATGGGACAGGTCTAGAGCTATAGACTATATTCTGATGGAATCCCTGATTTGGGTGCATTTTTTTTCAGTTTGAAGTTTACCCTTTATTCAAAAGATAAAGTCTGTTTTTATATTAAATATTTCTTTCTATCTTTTAATTAATAGAGGTTCATAGGAGCAGTTTGTTTGTGAAAGGTGCCAAGGTTCATGAAATTATTTCATTTTGTTTTATTTTATTTTATCTTTTTTTTTTTTTTTTGCATCTAAAAAAGGGACTATTGCTTTAAAAAAAATGGTTTAAAATTATGTTTATATTCTCATCAGATTAAGTCATATCAGTGGTCTTGAAAAAGCATTGCCTCTTTGCTGCAGGTGAATGAAAGTCCTTTACCGCTGCTCGATCCTGAGGTCCTGCAGGTCCATGCACCTCCGTTTGTGTCTAAAGAGAGTCTCAGTGAACCAGCCGTGAGAAACCTCAGCCAGACCCAGCAACAGCGCTTCTTCATTAAGAAGAAAAATGATAGGCCTGTTATTAAGGCTGGAAACCCCAAAGAAGAAACCACAGAGGATGTTAGTGTTCCCAAAGACCTGGATCTGGTGGCTCTGCCACACCTCTGCTTTCCAGGTGAAACTAATTTATGTGCAAAAGCTTGACTGGTTGTTGAATCATGTCAGTGCATCTGCTGCAACCCTATTCCATGCAGATCTTCATACATTACACAGTCTAATACTTCAGAAACTGTATAAAATCTCTATAGAATTCATGCCAAAGGTCAGCACACCACAGTATAAAGAGCACAATAATAAAGGTTTTAACTGACTCTATAAAGAGCAATGCTGTAAATGTTAAATACTGTAGTTCAGTTCACAGTAGCTGTAATGTTAGTTTAGAATGATTAGATTAGACTAACAGTCATTTCTTTCTTTTAAATCAGGTGGACTTCAGATAACTAAGGAGCAAAAGGATGAACAATTTCACTTCCTAGTCTTCACTGACGTGTTTGGAAACCAGTCTCATGGAGTAGTTCTCCAGTACTGTAGATCAATACAGGTCAGATTCTTTTTTTATATTACCTGATATTAACCTCTCATTATGGTTGTGTATTGACAGATCACATGAGCTGAACTTCACCTGCTGTGCTTGAATTAGCAAAAATGTTAAAAAAGGAAGGCAAAATGAAGTTGTGTATGTTTCTGCTAACAGTGCAAATATTGAGACCTATAATATGCAAATATTGAATATGCAAATATTCTCTTTTCTATTGAATTTTAGGCAATTGATTTACAGTTTTTTTCTTACTGTTGCGTGCTGTGGATTGAATATGTGTTTAAAATAGTAACATTTTAATATGTCCTATTTGGTTATTCAAAGTAGAACATAGGTCATGTTAGGACAAAGGACATATTAGGGCAAAGTAGGACATCTTATGCACCAGAATCATGAATTCCATCACATTACATAGCTATGTCCTATCATGTTTCATACATATATACAGTAGGCTAAACACACACACAGCTGTTTTGATTAAGGCACTGACATATTCAAACTTTTTGTTTTAAACCCTGTTATACAGGAAGGAATGCAGAATGGACACCGGTCCTTGTGCAAGTCTCCACAACTCTACATTGCTTATGCAATATGTGTTATATCAAAACACCCATATTACAATGCTCTCAAGGACTGTCTGTCTTGGTAAGATTCAAGACATTTATTCATATGTATTGAAAAATAAGAAAATATTTTGGGAAACAGAGGAGAATAAATAACAAGAGGCTTATCAGCAGTATTAGATTCTGCTATTCTGTCTTCATAAAATACTCAGTTTGTCTATCCTATAAGAAGCACACCGATAACACATTTATTTGCATTAGTTTAATTATTGTGAACAAACAGAGTTTGTTTTGATATCAC